ACCTTTTATGTTCTTGGTGCAGCTCCGCTAGGTTTTCAACAGTTGTATCACATTCTCTAGCGATCTTGCAGACTTTAGCTTCCTATTTTTCAGCTCTATCTTTCTACTAATTTTTCTCCTTTTGAAGCTTCTGAATCTCTTGCTTTAGTTTATCTTTTTTGGACTCAAATTTTTTTGTTCCAAGCTCCAATTCTGATGGTGTTTCTTCAAGCTTTTCTCTTGTTAGAGGTTGACAGCTTTCATAAGTGAATACCATTTCCTATCTTTGTGTTGCTCTCCAAACCAAGTACCCCTGAATGACCTTATCAGTGAATGGTCCCAGACTCACTCTACGAGGATTTTTTCATGCTTTAATCACCTCATTCATCCTCTAAAAAGCTTTTGGCTCACTGCAAGAAAAATTTGATTGATGAAGCTTATGCGACATGGGAATGAACTGTTCTACCCCAAACTGCCTCCTCACTAGAAGTGGCGCACAACTTATTCCTCCCCATAAACCTAGAGTGGGACCACAGAGTTATCTCCACATTGATAAAGCATAGGCTCACGATTCATCCATGGGACTAACCATTTTACTTTGGCACTTGTCAGTTTTTGTAAGAAAACTACCCATTTTTTTTTAGACTTTCGTTTTAACCACCCACTTTCGTAGAATTCTTTGATCAGAGCTCAATTGTGGACATAAAGTTTCAAGAAAGTACCTTTTCTCCATTTGAAGTGGCTTTTCATCTATAGGTACAATAACTGTATGTAGCCTATAAAATGCCCTCCATTCCGATGATAGTAACTCAAAGATTTGACAATCTTTGCTAATATTATCGTTGAAGGTTACAATCATTGATCATACTTTCAAAAAATTCAATCACTGCTATTTCAATATAACCCAAAACCTTTAGAAATATCACCATTCCGTATATGGCTAAGGCAAATATGTCCAACCCTGATTCTTCGTAGGCATGTTACACTAAGAAATCATGAAAGAACTTTCAAGATAGGCAAACCTGTTCCTGTTTTTTTTGTATGAGAATCCACAATCTCTTTATCTATCCCCATGAGATGGGCCAAATCTTTACGAAATCCTGACTTGTGTTAGGAGCTTTAAGGTGTAGGCCCAACAAAGTCGAGTATTCTTTAATGGTTGGTGTCATATCAACTTCATTGAAGATGAAACGCTTGTATACAAAATCTCAAAATTGCACTGCAACTCTAATTAGTTGATTGTCAACATTTACTGTAAGAAGGTGTGCTATATGCCCATGTCTCTAGCAAAACTCTTCTTATCTTGATGGACTCATCTTTTTTCATATATCTACCAAACCCTTTAGATTGTTTTGTTTGAGGAGGATAGATGTCTCTTGAGACAAGGTAAAAGCATAGCCAATTGGTAAACAATCCCCCATCTTTAGTTGAATCTTTTCTAATTGTACCTTCACCTCGTTGGGTGACTCACAAGGAGCTAATATAGATGAAGAACAAACTAGTCGTTCTGTGGAGTCCATGAAAAACTAGTTGTTGATGACCATTTTTTAGGTAAATGTTCTTTATGCAACTTTATGATACGAATATGGATCATGCAAACATGAATAAGAGAAGAGAAGAGGTTAGTACATCAAATAAAGAGTAATAAATAAATAAATAACTAAATAAATTAAAATGTCACACACAATAAGAGGAATGAATCATATGTTTCTAGTCAATTCTAAAAGGAAGGAGATGGCTCTATCTATAGGTTAGGCACTTCTAAGGTTCTCTATATATGGTTCGAGGTTAAAGTCTAAAGGTTTCCAAATTGCTCCTTACATCATTATCCATTACAGACTAGTAAGACACCCCAATCCTCACCTATTACAGGTTATAAGCGAAAAAAGTTCAATTTGAGTGGGAGTATTTAGCTAACCACTGCAGAGGCATTAAAACCTCACGAAAGCAATAGGTACTTTACTCCCTCCTAGAGGGACGAAGCTCAGGTATAGAGCTCATGTTATGCACATCCATATGAATGACAGAGTTAACGAAGTAAATAAATAGAATGAATAAAAAATTATACAAAAAGTTCAATTTTATTAGGCTTTTGGATAACATAAATTTATTTGCTGGCCTGACTTTTGGCTTATTTTTCTCAGTGGAATCGTCAAACTGTCATAACATATAGATCTGTTGACCTATCACTAGACATTGACTTAAGGAGTCGCTACCAATCTTTTTTATTTAGGTGCGATTGGTCACCTAAAAAATCTATCCTTTCAAGGAACATCTAGGCTGAAGGGTCCCTAAAAGAATAGATTCGGGTCTATTAACCAGGACATGGTTCGGGAGTTCAATTATGAGTGAAGAAGGTTATAGCACCCTCACAACGCCCATCGAAAGATGGTATCAGCTTAATTTTGTGTTATCCAATAAGCCTTAAAAATTTTATCAAGTAATTAATTATTGAAAATTATTTTTAATTAACTCCAATACTTTTGACAAAAAATTAAAAAAATTCTCTCACCTCAAAAGTATGCAAGAAAATTACTGTTTCACTTGCAAAGACTCCATCATTGGATTACTTAACATTAAAAAAATTTCAAGAAATAAAATAAATAAAATAAAAAAAGAATAATGATTCAACTTTTGATATAAATCTTTTTTTTTCATTTTATAAAAAAAAAACTCATTTGCTTTTGTACAAGGAAAATTGATACTTTCAACTTTTTCTTAAAATATTTTTCTTGATAATTTTTATTTTTAAGGAATATTGGTACTTCCAACTTTTCCTCAAAAATTTTTTTTGATAATTTTTATTTTAGAAATTTTATTTTCAAAGAAAATCGATACTTTCAACTTTTCCCAAAAATATATATTTTTAAACCTTTTAATTTTCAAGGAAAATTGATACTTTCAACTTTCTCCCAAAATGCTTTTGAAAATTTTTATTTTAGAAATTTTATTTTTAAGAAAAATTGATACTTTCAACTTTTCCTCAAAAATATATTTTTTTAAACATTTTTATTTTCAAGAAAAATTGATATTTTCAACTTTCCCCCAAAATGCTTTTGGAAATTTTTATTTTAGAAATTTTATTTTTAAGAAAAATTGATACTTTCAACTTTTCCTCAAAAATATTTTTTGAAAATTTTTATTTTAGAAAAATCAAAATAAAATAAAATTAAAGAATACCAAATAATTCTAATTTAAAAATAATAATAACAATAATAATAATAAAAAATTAATTAATTAATTAAAAAAAAGAAAAAAAAAACTTTGGAACGGCTCAACTCGACTGGAATTTGGCTCGACTTTAGAGACAGAAGCTGCTCAAAGGTGCGGCCCAATAGGAAACGGCTTGGCTCGACTAGAGCCCAGGTAGGGGCGCGGGTCGTTGGTTCGGGTCGCACTACGTGTCGGGTCGAATCTTGACAAAACGCGCGGATCTTGAGTTTATTGACACCCAAAACGACGTTGTTTTCTGAAGGTATATAAAGTTGAAACCGGTTCTTTCTTCTGATTTCCCTTCCCCTTTTTCTCTCTTCCCTTCTTTTTTCTCTTATTTCTCTCTAGAAAAACTCAGATTTCAGTTGAATGTTCTACCAAAATTTGGAAAAAACCACCAGAAACTGAAAATATTGGTTGAAAATTTCAAAATTGGCCAAAATCTTCACCGAAAATTTAATCGGATTCTGGATTTTCCAAAAAATTTTCAGAAAAAACCCAAAAATTCAAAAAAAATTCCTAAAATTCTAAAACTATCTCTACCCTTTAGAATCTTTTTTTTTTTTTTTTGCTTCTGTTCTCTTCCATTTTCTTTTCTTTCGTATCCCCCTTATGTTTCTAATCTGTTTGTATTTATAGGGATTCAATCACCAATCCAAATTCCCTTTCTGATTTGGTTTCTAATCGCTGAATTTATCAAATACATGGTTTAATCCAATCATGATTCTCTACTACCCTTATTCACGGTAGAATCCATTCCCATTTTAATTATTATCTCCTAATCGAAAATTAATCTGAAAAAGAAAAAGAAAAAAATCTAGAAGAAAAACAAGTCAATAAGTTGATAAATCACAAAAAACAAAAAAAAAAATAAATATATGTATAAATCCAAATCTTTGAATTTGTCTGACCCATTTGGACTAGACTCAATTGATCTAGACCTGAACCAAATTGAATGTCTACAATAATAATACAAAACATTTACCTAATTGATTGTTTTTTATTATGTTTAGTTTATCCTTTTAGTTTTTTTTACAAAAATCTTTTAAAATTTTCACTAACCAAAAAACGCAAGACTATAATGAAATGACAAATTGGGAAGATCTCATCATTGGATTTTTTGGCCAATCAAACCATTAAGGTACCAATTTAATTTGAAAAATGGTCCTCCAAACAAAAATAAGAGTTTACTTTAGTACAACATTAATACTTAATAAGAAAATAAAATTATTAGTCAATATTTTAATTTAAAAAAAAATTAACTAAGAAAAGTTTATTTTAATAATTAAAAACTTCAGTGTTAATAAAAAATAAACTAATCAACATTTTAATTTAAAAAAATCATTAATTAAGGATAAAATAATTAACTTAACAAATTATCAAGGATATATGTCTATAACATTACCAAGAATGTGCAACAGTGGCTTGGGTTGGGTTGCATTGGGTTGCATTGGACCAGCTTGATGAAATTGAGAGGATGGAAACAGCAAACATGCTATTGGTAAACTGCATAATTCACAATGGAGGCTATTATACAAAAGCTTCCTATAAGATGTCACCTCATTTGGCATGTTAGAGAATTTTAAAAAAATTTAATCACTTCGATTTTATTTTAAAATTATTTTAATTTAATTAAATATTAAAAATGTTGTTTTATAAATGAATTATGATTGATTGGATCTTGTTCTTCGTGACTTTGATAAATCTTCAATTAAAATTTTTAACCAATTAAATATTTAATTTAATTAATTAAAAAATTTTCACCAAATCTGGACATGTGCGTGTGTCACGTGACTATTACCCTCTCCCTTAAAAATCGATTTATTAGGACCGCAGGGTTGAATCTCGGCCGTGACACATGCATCTTACCAATTTATTCTAGCATTCACATTCTATTATAATTTGTACAATATGTATCCAAAATATCAGTGCTCTGCTACTGCTATCACTGTTTTGTCATGCATCTTTGATTTGGATATTACCATCAGCTTTCTCCTGCAACAGCAATGCTTGTTCGAGTTTACAGAGCACATCACTTATTGATGGCCGGTCTATTTGCCTACTGGCCAGGCACCTTACTGCAATGTCCACAAACGTGGTAAGGCACTCGGACATGATCTTTCCTCTTAGGTATGGTTCAATCAGGACATCAACTTTTTCACTTCGATAGCAATGAACAGCCCATCTAGCCAAGCTTACGTTCGTCTGATCATCCTCGTTTGGCTCACGATTAACAGCTGGTCTTGCACATAAGACTTCAAATAAAACCACACCAAAAGAATAAACATCTGATTTGCGAGTTAAAGTTCTGTTTCTGCCATATTCAGGGTCCAAGTATCCAAAGGTACCCTTTAGTCCAGAGCTGACTTGGTTCCTAAAGGATCTCGCAGTCTTGCCTACTTTTGACAGGCCAAAATCTGAGACTTTAGCCACCCAATCTTGATCCAGGAGTATGTTTGTTGATTTGATGTCCCGGTGAATGATGGAATGCTCTGTGCCCGTATGGAGGTAGTGTAATCCACGAGCAGCACCAATGCAAATCTTGAGCCTCTGAGTCCATGACAGTGGTGGATTTTGAGTCCCGTAGAGATGATCACGTAGAGTGCCATGAGCCATGTAATCATATATCAGGATCAACTCACTGTCCTCTTGACAATATCCAAGCAAAGATACAATGTTCATGTGACGAAAAGTGGAGAGCAATTCGATTTCAGTTTTGAACTCTTGGATTCCTTGGTGGGACTCAGGATTTTTGCGCTTAACTGCCACTTTGGTGAACCCATCCTCAAGCAGACCCTCATAAACCTTACCGAACCCGCCACAACCAAGCACAAGAGCTTCACTGAAATTGTTAGTGGCAGCTCTTATCTCTTGCAAGGGAATTTGACGGCAATGATCTGAAGATTTAACATTTAGGCTACTTGTCTTCCCAAGGTTTTTCTCGTAACGTTTAGAAATCCAATGAGAAACCAGGTAGACTATTAAAGAGACTAGACAAATTCCAAAAACTATACCCAGAACCAATCCCAGGAAGATATTAGATAGAGTAGTCTTGGCCCGATTCTCTACTTGAGCATGAGCTGCAAGATTGTTACTGGTATCGCTTAACTTCAAGATCTCAACTCCATTCAGTATTACATCAGCAAGTTGTGGCTTTGAATCAGTGTTAGTCGCCAAGGCAAGCCAAAGATCATTTCTTCCTTCTTTCATTTCTGAAACCGTGATTATATAGTCCCTATGCATTGCAACCAAAGGACCACCAGCCATAGAAACTATATCCAGGCTGCTTTCCACTGTCTTGTTGTTGATATAAACGTTGAACACTCTCTGTTTCACTTCTGTTACATATAGTTGAATCTCGCAGAAATGAAGCCTAACAATGTATTTGAAACCTGAGTCAACAGGAAATGTCCATGTCAGATTGTACCCCACATTGGCAGCCTCATCACTACCACCAATTGTCCTGGCTGTACTGTACAGGTCCCCAGGTGCTCCATATTCACTTAATGTCCAAGAGCTTTTATTGTAATCTATATGATCATCATACGCTTCAATAGGAGTGCCATTTCTAGAACCCTGTATGTGTAGTTGGTCATCCAACCCAATCCAGAACGGCTCATTCAGACTGTCACTACCTACGTTGATTCTGTGAAGTATCTCAAGCGCAGATTCGTCTTGAATAGAGGTAGCATTGGAAGTTTCCTTCACTCCATAATCAGAGAGTTTGAGGGACATTGAGTAAATCTCTATCCCATTTACAAAGGCAAAAGCGTCTGAAACATGTGGTGATGGAGCAAAGGTGATATTCAAAGACTGTTTCTTTAAGTTAAGGAGGAAATCTTTAGTGAAATAAGGTGATTTCAAAATGCTTGCCATTACAGAAGAGCTAAAATTGTTTAAGAAAGTGTAATTGCCAGAGGTGACAGAGAATTCGGCTCTGGACATTTGGTCCATGGCAGTGTAAGAAGTAGGGTAGAAATGAAGGCGAATAAACTTGAGGCCAGGGGACATAGGGAAACTATAGGTGAAAGAAGAAGGAAAGAAGCGTGCAGTTGCATATGGATTCTCCGGAACTTTTCCGGTTATATTTGAGATCACACGGCCGATCCTTGTTTCTTCATAATAATCCGGGAAAAGATTTACATCCCCAATCCAAGTTTTACCATTAAACGATGAGTTTCCTGCATATCCGCAGTCAAGAATTACTTGGTCCGAGGAGGAAAAACAATTCCAGGAATTGAAAAAGAAGCTGAGGTGAAGCAGAGAAATAAGTGATGGCCATGAAGCGTAGGAATTGGTAATTTTCTTCATAGAGGCAATGTTGCAACAGCTGCTCAAGGAAGAAGATAGATCGGCATGCATAGCCAAAAAATCCAATAAATAGGTTGTTAAATTGGCAATCAAATGTAAAGGGGTCATTGGTCCCATGTTCCCATTCCAAATTTGTCTGATCTATAGCTATTGTCTTGGTCCTCCTGGAAATTTTGGCCTTTCATTTTCGAATTGACGAGAATCAAGTCGAGAGCATAGTTCCATGCAAAAGCACTCGGATATTTCTTTGATCATTCCTCAAAAGTCCCAATTTCTTCATTGCACTTGCAGCTTAACTTCTATTTCAACAGTCATAACGTAAAAGCAAAGCCATTAAAGAAATGAAAACAAGGAAATTGTAAGAATCTTTCTTTTGCAACTGAGAATACTAAGGAAATTGTTAGAATCTTTCTTTTGCAACTGAGAATACTAGCTTCATAGTTTCATTAATTAAACAAGTCTTTCTCTAGTCTTCCACAGAGGCTAATTGGGTATACTTTTCTTCTCTACAAAACCATTAAAATTCTTGAAAGATTCCGTAAATTAATTTGTGTTGACTGTGACAGGATTACTTCATTGGTTATTATTTTTTCTTTGAAAGCAAAGTTGCACCTGTCCCAAGTCAAATTTATTCATATTATTAATGGTTTTGATTCAAATCTTAATATTTATAATTTATTTTTTAAAGGATAAAAAATAGATCGGATGGCTAAAGAGAGAAATATCTAGCAAGGATCGGATTATCGGAGTCAACTCCAAAAATGTTTTCTATGCTTTGGTCAAGTTAAACAAAGAATTAAAAATTGTTAAGTCTCTTTTCACCTATGTAAGAACTTGTTTTAGAGTAAAAATCCAATAACTTATAGTCACAAATAAAATATTTTAAATTTATGATTTTTTTTATTTTTATGTACCACATATTAGTTGACAAGACTTTACAAACAAATTTTAAAATATAAAAAATGGAATTAAATACAATTTTTTGTAATACTGATAAAAAATTAAAGAAAAGTCTTATTAAAACAAAATTAACAAGTTAGATATTATACTATTGTGTTTGAGTTTTTTGAATTCGTACTTAAAAACTGAAATTTTGTTAAATTACTAAATAAAAAATAGTTTTGTAAAAAAAATGATATTGATTACAATTATGATTAAAAAAATAAAAATTCTCCCTAAACAACTGAAGTTAATACGAGATTGTGGTGCAAAAGCACATTTAACAATTTGGGATTATGGAACTATTGTGGTAAGAGAACAAGATATATAAAATGTTTAAATTAAAATACATGTTAATAAAAAAATTCACATAAAAGGTATCTATCTTAATCACAATTAATTAAAAAATAAAAATATTTATTTTAATATATTGAAAGGTAGGCATCTATTTAATTACTGCCTCACTTACTAATTAATTTACTTATTTAATTATATATTATCATATTTATTTATTTTAACCTATTTTTTTTCTTATTTACTAAAAATTAGAAAAAATCAAATTTGCTAAACATACATTGCAAACTATGTATAACTGAACAAAATTTTAATGCTACGTACTTAATTTATACTAAGGCAATGTGTGAAGATTCATACCCAATTTGTTATGTATTGTTTGTTTTGATTCAAAAGTCTCACAGTTTTATCTCATAATAAGTATCTCATAAGTTTGAATTTAAATCTCTACATATATATCATAATAAAATCTCATATTATCCCGATATGAGATTAAAGAGTCACAAACTCTCCCATTAAAATTTAACGTTCCCGTCAATCTTAACACAAAACACATAGATTTATCGAATTACATCAAACGTTAAACAAGTCTAATATAAAGTATACACAGATTACAGAATCACACAAGATATTGAGATTTTAGAGATAGCTTCCAATGTATAACATTTAGCTTTTGTTCGACTAAAGATTGTTTTGATACTATTTGTAACTACCCATAAATAACTTGTGAAGTATTATTCACTTTGACCTAAAAATTTTACAATTTTATTTCACAAAAGATACTTCATAAGTTTAAATTTAGATATATATATATATATATTATAATAAAATCTTAAATTATTTCGATACCAGATTAAGATATCATACAATAAAATAAAAATTTGGAAGAATTGATAGAAAATGATGGGTATTGTTGGTCAAACATTTTCTTTTACTCTAAGGGTTAGGTAAAGAATAGAAAATTGTTTAAAGTCTCTTTTGAATTTTTTTTTCCAAATTTTAGAATTTTTTTTTTGGTTGTGGCTTGGAAGGGGATAAGGGGTTATAAACAAAGGACAAGTTTAATTAAATTTGAAAATAAAATATTTCAACATGACTTAGGAAAAAAGTGTGAAACCGACGCTTCACGTTAACATATATATGTATTTCTTAGAGTTTTTTTTTTTTCTTGTTGTGGCTTGGAAGGGGATAAGGATTACAAACAAAGGACAAGTTTAATTAAATTTGAAAATAAACTATTTCAACATGACTTAAGAAAAAAGTGTGAAACCGACACTTCACGTTAACATATATGTATTTCATTTAAATCATGGCAGGTAAGTAATTGACAACTAAACCACACTGATTCATTCATTTTCATAGAAAATTAGTATTTATCCTGCTTGCAAAATTTAAAGCAAATGTTCTTTTATGGTAATTAATCTTTCTCTTGAAAATTTTAAATAATTTTATATGTTATAGTTGATAGAACCATAAGAATATACAATTTGCCTCTTGTTTCTATGCACCCCTACTACTACTTGTGCATATAAAAGATTTAAATATGGCTTGAATTAGTGAATTGATTGGCCAAAAAAAATTAGTGAATTCAATTCTTTCTACATTCTTACTATTAAGAAGGAGAAGGAGAAGGAGAAGAAGAAAAAGAAAAAGAATTATATGTTCTTATTTAATTCTCACGCAGATGGTTATATCTCTCTTTTTTTAATAATATTTCACTTCTTTTGTTTAAAAACAAATATTCATATCTAATTTTACTTGTAGTAGGTTTTTTGTATTTTAGTTTTAAGAAATTTTTTGATATTGTGTTTAATAGTTTATAACATCACAATGTAAAGAAATAAAAAAAATTAATACTATAAAACATTAAAAAAAAACTCTAAATGTTTGAAAACAAAATAGTTTATTCTTTTGAAATGTAGAAAAGATCAAAGAATATTTGACTTTAATTTTTCAAAATTGATGTAGTACTACAGAGAATCTTGATTAAAATTTTTTTTAAAAAATGAGATTTTATTTTTGATATTTGCATCTATTAAAATTTGAATTCTAATTGCTAAAAATAAGATTTTTAGCAACATATTTTTATCATTTATATCATCAACATTCTAGTATATAAGGTGTAGACACTTATTTGTGTTCAAAGTTAATCGGTGTTGATTTTTTGTCATTACTATTATTATTTTTGTTATTAGTATTATTATTTTTATTATTATCATTATTCTTACTATTACTAGTATTATATCATATCATATTATTATTAGATTATAGTATATTATTATTATTATTATTATTCTTGTTGTTGTTGTTATTATTATTGTTGCTATTACTGCTACGATTCTTTCTTTTTATTCTTTATCGCGATTGAATAAGGAAATTGAATCTGGATTCAAGACTAAAACAAAGGGATTCAACTCAGACGAATTGTTAGGACCTAAGCTTTTAACAGGATCCAATCTTAGGATTCACATTTGGATTGATCCTATTCAGGTAGAATCTAATCTCAAGATTCAAAACAGCCAAAATTTTCTATCAAAATAGCCTATAAATTAAACATAATACTGTGGAGAAGGCATGGGCGAATTTCTAGAGAAAAGAGGAATTTTTGGAAGAAAAGACTTTGTGTTTAGAATTTTGGAAAAAGTTTCTCAGTTGTAGTTTCTGGGATTGTAGTTTTGAAGTTTCTAAGTTCAAGGCTTTGGTGATTGAAAGGTGTTTGGATGTTTGGTTTTTGGTCTGGAGTGCTGGGATTGAGATTTCAAATTTTTGGATTTAAGGCTGTATTTTTGGAAAATTTTTGAAGAATTATGGAAAATTTTGGAAAAATTTGGGTTCATGATGAAGTTTTGAATTTTTTGGTTGAATTTTCAACAAAGTTTGAATTTTTCGATCAGATTCCGATCAGTTTTTCAGAAACTAGTGATCAAACCCAATTTTTTGTGGGTGTTCTTGGTTTTTTTTAAATAGAAGGCAAATGAATTTCAGCTTAGAGAGAGAAGCGCTCAGGTGCAATTGAGGAAAAATCACACTTTGGCCCTTTTATACTGTCCCAATACGACATCATTTCTGAAGACCCAAGATCCACGTGAACCTGAATAGGATCCGCACATCACCTGTGGATCAACCTGACCCAATCGTAATTTTTTTTTATTTTCATTTTTTGATTTTATTTTTATAATTTTCCTTTTTTAGTCTTATTTTATTTTATTTTCTTTTTATTTCTATTTTATTTATCATTGTTATTTTACTAATTTTAAATTAAACATTTCACTACTTTTTAAATATTTTTGTAAAATTACTTTTTATTTTATTTTTGGAAAATAAAACAAAATATTTTCTTTTCATATAAATTCATGAACACTATCAAACTATTGGAGGATTTTTCATAGATTTAAATTTTATGAAATCTACTAAACTATTAGAGAATTTCATAAATCAATTTTCAAAAGAAAAATAATTTTAAAGTAAAAAAATTTGTATTTTATCTTGCCAAACTATTAGAGGATTGTATCTTAAATTAAATCTTACCAAACTATTAGAAGATTTAATGAATTTTTCTCAAAAATAAAATTTTATAAATATTTCTATGTAAAATCTCACTAAATTATTAGGAGATATGTATCAAAGTAAATCCTACCAAACTATCGGAAGATTTTACTAATTATTTTCTTGGATAAAATATATTAATAAATCCGACGATGGAACCTCTCTAAGGTGGGACACTAGTCTCTATGGATATTCTTGAGGTGAGAGAATTATCTTAAATTGCTACCAAACTATTAGAGTAATTTTAAGATTAATTTTCAATATTAAATATTTTTATAAATTATAAACATTTTTAAGGCTTGGATAGTTTAAAATCAAACTAGTGTCATCTTTCCATGTGTGTTGTAAGGGTGCTATAACCTTCCTCACATGTAATTGTACTCCTAAACTTAAAATCTGATTTCGTAAATCAAAATCTATTA